CAAAATATTTTTTTAAGTTTTGTTTATCCTTAACCCATTTAGTTTATGTATTGTCACAATATTTGTTACAAGCAATTTATTGTATTCCTTTTATTTTCTCATTATATATTTTGTTTTTTCTTATATTGATCTTCTTTTCTCATCCTTATGCCATGCCTTATATGGTAGGAGAGCCCACTGCAAATTTCGCCCCTTATTTGATAACGAAATAAAATATTCCCTTATTGTATTTAAAAACATTGTACCGAACGGCACCTGTATCACTATCCTGGGCAAAATGGTTAAAACAATGGCATTTTCGGTGCTGGAATGTTGTGATTTGATAAGGGCCGATTCCACCGTTGTGTTAAACGAAGATTAAAATGACGTTTTTTGCATTAACAATATATTTTAATCTTCGTTTAGTAATTTAAACTTCCTTTAACACAATGGTGGATTCTGTCCTAACAGATAAAAGATATGTCATCGGATGCCCATTGATTAATATGGCGATGTAGGCACGGTCAGGGCTCAATGCGTCGCCATATTTACACGCACCTTAAGATGCGCCGTGCCATACCATTTATTTCATTTACAAAAAATCACGTAAGTCATGCCAACGATATTTGTTTGCCCTAAAAATTAGTCACAATTTATTATGACCTACCTTATGAATCTCTTATGAGATCCCTGATTTGTACCCCAATTTTATATACTTTTTTAAATGTCAATTGTTAATACCTATTTTTTTCGAAACATAAATGGGCTTAGAGCCGATTCCACCGTTGTGTTAAACGAAATTTAAAATGATATTTTTACATTAAAAATGTCAGTTTAATCTCCGTTTAACATAACGGTGAAATCGGCCCTAAGACACAAAAGTTTACTACCACTCTAAGGTCCTTTTTTGCCTTAAGAGCTCGAATCTTTTCGGGGCATATTTGAGTGTGTGCCAATTAATATCTATGTTGTAATCCGGCTCGAAGGACCAAAATTATGTGTGAGAAAACGAGAACTGTGTACTTAATCGATAATTAATTGTCTTCTTAGGGCTAATTCCACCGTTGTGTTAAACGAAGTTAAATTACTAAACGAAGATTAAAATGGCATTGTTGTTAATATACAAATGTAATTTACAATTTAATATTTTCGTGAAACGTTTCGAATGTTTCATTACGATCAATATAAAAAATGTAGAGGCTAGTGATTTGCCGATTTTTGCATAGCACAGGGTCGGCTTATGCACGTACATACAGAGTGTTCCATCTCAGACGAGCCACCCCGTATATTTCTTATCCCATAGTAATTGGAATAATTTCCCGAAACACGTCGGATGAATGAGGGGGCACTTCAACCCTTCAAAATTGAATAGGGAAGAGGGGTTGAGTGATACTTCATTTGTAGTCTTGGAAGCCTCTTTACAACGGTCTATGAAAAAAATCACATTCTTAAAAAATAATCCCCACTGGGGTATACATTGTAAAGATCAATATTTCCAGAAAGTCAATGTCTGGTGTAAAATTTTGGGAGACCAAATAATAAGTCTTTTTTTCTTTAATGAATCATTAAATTCTGGTCGTCTAGTTAACTTTTTTGATGGGGAATTATGGGATGCTATAGAAAATCTTCCTCTCAATGTGCGACAGGATATGTATTTCCAGCTAGATGGTGCATCCATTCACAATTCAAGGATTGTTCTTCAATGGTTAAACCAAAAATTTCCTATGCGCTGGATAGGAAGAAACAGTCCTTTTGAACCCTAACCTTCGAGGTCCTCTAATATTACACCACTCGATTTTTATTTAGTTTACAAAACAAGGCCCAGAAATCGAGATGAACTTTGTTCCAAAATAAGACAAGTATGTCAACAAATCAACATCCCAGAACTTAGACGAGTATCCAACCATAATTGTAAAAGAATTGAAAAATGTATTCGAATAAATGGAGGCCTAGTCGAGCTAGATAACATTTGATAAATTGTCATATGTACTCTGAAAATTTATGTTTTAATTATTATCTTAAATTTAATCAGTTATCTACTAAAAATTGTTTTCTTAAAATAAAATAATTATTTGTTTTAGTGTTATTTATTTTACTGAAGAATTTAAATTACATGAATTACACTAAAATGAAAGTCGTTAATCTGATTGACATTAATGATTTCACAATAAGTGTCAAATTATTTCTTTCCATGGCACACTAGTTTATCGAATAAAAAAAATCAACTTTTAATAATTTTTTGTATTGACCAAAATAATGAAAAAACTAAAAAAGCGAATTTTGTCATGAAATTTGGTATGTAGGGTTAAAATAATATTCGGAACAACTTTTTCAAATAATTTTTTCTGATATCTAACGCGAAGAAAAATATCGAAAATTGACCCTGTTTGTGGATTCGCAGAAGGCCGCGTTTAAAATTTAAATTTCAGTTGAGCATCTTGAAAAATGTGAACCATCACCCGGTATGATTGTGCAAAATTTCAAATCTGTATTTATTTAGATAACCAAGATATAGGGGTGTCTTCATCTTAAATGCGACACACTGTATATATTCCTGAGTTATTTCTAAGTTTGGAATAGGTGGCTCCCTTGCCCTAAAGGCATTAGTGGGCTGTTTTGAGGGCGGTAAGGAGTTGTGTGTATGTTGTCGTTATTTTTGCTGAATCTTTTTATTTTAAATATATATTGCACAAATACAAATAAAAACATAACAATTTCGTTTCAGAATAAAAATCGTGTTTTATCTACGCTCTATTTTCTAATAAGAGAAACTTAAGATAGATACTTTTACATATTTCGTAAATTTGAAATCTGGCAAACCTGATTATTTACCTGGTTCAGCTGAACCTGAGTTTAAACTCACTTTCTACAAATGCTTGAATTTGGTTTCAAAACACAAAACACGTTTTTGCTAAACCGATTCTGGTTAACGGGAACTTGCGAGGCAATATGGCCGCTTGCAATGAAACTCACTTTGAGTAATCTATATAATTATATACGTTATTGAACCTGTCAAAGCTAACAGTGTGGCCAACAAACAGAAAATTTGACAAGTGAGTGTTGTTTTCATTTTGAAAGCAAAATATTAAAATCGAAAACCGTAAAACTTTATTTAACTATGCGAAAAACAGGACTTGTTGATAAACAGTCAGATATGACTGTGGCTTCAAAAAAAAGTCAAGTCTCTTTTCTTCTTAGTTCAGTTCCAGAATACATTCAAAAAGTAGAATGTGATACCAGTAAACAGTAAGATCCTTTAACTCTTTAATTTAATTATTTAACTATCTATTTTTAACAGCACTCCACCGTTCAAATGTGCAGTCAAAACATGTTCAAATAAGTTTCTACGATATGAAGATCGTCTCGACTATCCATACAAGTTCCACAGTTTTCCACTGAATAAACATCTTCGCAAAATTTGGAAAGTTAAATGTGGTTTAGAGAAATCGGACCACGTTAAAGGTTTAATGGTAATTATGAAATTATTTTCATTAGTTGCAGTGTATTCTGTTTTATGCATTAACCAGATCACTACTACAAACTTAATACTTTCACTAAAAATATCACAGTAATTATATTTTGCTAAAGAAAAAGTAACTAAAATATATTTAAGTACATAACGGTTTTGTATTCGCGATAAATTTCAAATTTTAATTTTTAAAAACCACCTTGTAATTAATAAAAAAACCTTAAAACTTTGGAAGCCTCTTCTGTAAAACAGAAATTTTCAAAGTTAAGATGTTCTTTGCGAGGGTTGATATGTTTGCATAAAAATAGTGAATAATATAGTTTAATAACAAATGTCTTTATTATACCAGCAAAAAAAATTATCGTATAGTTTAGTGTACCCCAATAGTCATTCAACTCAACCATATCACATACTTTAATACTGAAGATAAACTGTGCTTACAAAACAAGAAAATAAATTGCAAATTTAATTCGATTTTAAATATTAATAGGAGTTAGGTGATGCATTTTTGATAGATCAAAGTGAAATACGTTGCAAATGTAAGAAATTGTTGATATATCATCTTCTCTTTATAATAATGGATTATTATTTATATATTTATTATTACTTTAGAGCTTTATTTACAGCTGTATGAGCCTTTCTATGGCTGGAATATCCTAGCTTGTTGGGAACTACCATATTAGTCTGAAATATGCAACTTACCTCTTCCTCTGTTTCAACAGTTCTTTTTATATTCCTGTAAAAATATATTTCCAACTTGACAATTCATTTTGCATGTATTAAAATAATCAACTGCAATCAATGTTACATAATTAACTTTTATTGTAGGTTTGTTCTGATCACTTCAATTTGGATGATTACATAAGAAATTACAAAGAGGAATTTTCAAATCCCAATTTCAAGAGGAAACTAAAGCCCGATGTATTTCCCAATCAAAAACTAGGCAAATTAGAAAGCCTCATAGACATAGAAGAAATAAGTGATACAGATTATACATCTGATTTTGATACTGATATGGAAATGAAATTAGAGGCATTCAAATCTACTCAAACTAAAAAATATCAAAGTTCAACATCTAAAGTTGAAATAAATGAACCGTTAGATTACACTGAAGTAAAACGAGAAGTAGATTATAATAGTGAACTAGCTTTAAAGCAAGCCAAAATACAGAAAGAACTCAGAGGTCTTAAATCCCAAATGACATATTGGACTGCAAGGGTTCAAAAGACCAAACATAAAGCTAGTATTATCAAAAATAAAAGTTCTAATGACTTTAAGATATTAAAAAAGTTTTTTAGTAATACTCAAATTGCACTATTGCTAGGAAAAAGGGCCACTTGGACAAATGATGATCTCGCTAAAGCATTCACTCTAAGACATATGGGCTCAAAAAAGTGTTACTTGTATTTGAAAAATAAATTGAACATACCTTTACCATCATTATCTTGTATACAAAAATGGGCTAGTTCATACAAATAAAAAATAGTTTCTCCACTTTTCTTTTAATTAATATTACCTTGAAACAAAAACCCATTTTAATTGATTAATTTATTTTCTCCATTGGACATGTCAAAAAAAATATATTTATAATTCAAGTAAGGTTTATTAATAAAACAACTGGAAAGAAACATTCTAAATTTCAAAGTCATCTCGCTAAAAATAAATAAAAAGGAATTAAAATAATAATAAATAATAGGGTCTATATCCACAACTTACAATTCCATTGTATTCCAAAACATGTCTTCTAATCTTTGAACTATCTACCCAAGTAACGAAATCTTCTAAAGTTCTAGTGACTAGAAAAGCTGGGTCTTTAATTAATTCAGGGCCTACTCGAACATGGCCCTGTTCTATTAATTTGGTAGCACCTTTTATTGTTTCAGACATTTTATCTACAAACAAAAGCTATAATTTTTTGGTAGTTTCTAATTAATAAAAAACGTACTTCTGACCATTAAAACTGCTAATCTTCTTCTACAGAAACAAGAAGCTGTTACTTTTTCTGCCAAACTGAGATCCCATCGTGTCGCTATTAGACCCATTAAATATCTAAAAAAGACAATACTAATAAATCAATAATAATTTATAAATAGAATACTTACAATTTCTCTAATAATTGTGCACTACTTTCTGTCCTGAAAGGATGATTAGAATCAATTTCTTTTATTTTTCTAGCTACCTCTCGAATATTTCTTGAGAGTTTATTATATCTGCAAAGTTAATTATTTAATTAAAGCATTCGGCGTGTATTAATTTAGAGTTACTTTGTATAATCCTCTCTCTTTTGAATGTGGTATTTCTTGAGCACTTTGACTTCATGTAAATTATTATCAACTTCCCATGAAATAAAATCCACTTTCTTTAAAAGTTTCTGTTCATGATATTTAAGTTTTCTAACCATTTTTTAATAGAAACTGGAAGTATTAATTGTATTTTAATGTGATAAAGTGATCACTCTGTGCACTATACTCTTAACCTCAATTTTTGAAAATTCAAAACAAAACATGCTCGAGTGCTGACAAGTGGGAGCTGACAGTTTAGATCAGTGTTGCCAACTTTGAAGTAAGACTTTACCCTCAACATACCACTGATCTGTAGTAAAATAATACAGATCAGTGCTACATACCTTCAAAATTCCCACTTTTTGAAATTCCGGATCTTACTGAAATTTCTAATAAAAAAAACGTCCTCAGCATCATTTTATAAACCAACTCCTCAGATTTTATACCAGAAATACAAGTTTGTATCACAAATCTTTTAACAATACTTTAAAAATAAGTCAAACAATTAACAAATTTTATTTTTCAAATCATACTTTTTTCACATTGTAGACTCGAGTAAAAAATTCCCGTTTTCAGTTAACTTTTTCCATTTTTTCTCTTTTGTGTTAAAAATTCCTGCAAAACGAAAAATTTCCCTCCGGTTGGCGACACTGGTATAGATATGGCAACCCTGTGGGCCTGTTGTCAATGATCCATATATAGTTATATAGATTGCTCAAAGCAGGTCGTTTTGCGAGTGGCCATATTGCCTCCCAAGTGCTCAATAATCAGAATCAGTTTAGCAAAAATGTGTTTTAAAACCAATTTTTCTGATTTGACATAGAGTGACATTTTTTGTAATCCCAGCAAGTGTCAAAATGATCTACTTTACGCAACCAGTTGCATAATGTTGAACATTATAAAACTGGTTTCGAAATATTCACTCGTAACATACAATAAGGCATTTCGCAACTGGTTTCATAAATAGCTATTTCAGCCTTTGAAAATAATTACATACTTTTATACTTCAAGGCATAAGCTTATTTTGAAAAACATGGATAATCAATCTACATCATTGACCCTGTCAAATCACTAGGCTTACAGAGTTGCCATATCATAACCCACGAGCAACAATTTTGTTTGGAATGCCCTAGTTTTGTGTTGGTGGCAGTGTAAAACAAACTACTCCCTCTAGTTTATCTACTCCGATCTACTCCCTGTGATCTACTCTACTCTTCGTCATCCGTCACTCTTTACTTCAATTTCTATATTTTCTATCCTTCCTCCATGAATTTCAATCCCTCCCACTAGCCGAAAAGAGGTTAATACCTTTTTTCTAACTGGTAAACATTAGTTATTTATAAAATATTTTGTGTTTTTTGGTGGTTTTGTTGAAACTGTATTAGTGCTCTTCATTAGTTTTATTACAATACTTGTGGAGTGCCCTTAATCTGTGATATTTTGGATTCAATTTTGTTTTTTAATGACAGCTGTATGACTAATAGGCGGTGTTCCCGTGTTAAAATCTGAAAAATTTACCGTAACTTCGTAACAAAATGTTATTGTGAAAGAATCTTTTAAAAAACACACGAAAATGTCGAAGAACAACTTGAACGGGTCCAGAAGTGTCTCATCAAATAGTTTCAATAGTTTTTTATCAGATGGAGAAATTATAGAAAGTGGATTGGAAGATATTTCTATTAGCAACAAACATAATAACAGACCTTCGTCGACTTCGAAAGCTCAAAAAGCGAAAAGAATTAGATTCTATCACAACGGCAACAAATTTTTTAACGGGGTTGTTATACCCGTAGCTCCTGAAAGGTACAGATCATTTGATAGCCTGACAAATGAGTTAACAAACATTCTTACTAAAAGTGTTACATTGCCAAACGGAGTTAGAAATGTTTATTCCATGGATGGTAAAAAGGTAAGATATCTTTTACATAACCTATGAATGTAGTAGTAGCAGCAGCAAAAATAGGATTTTTTTTTATTAAAAAATTATATTCCTAATATAGAAACAGCATTGGATCTTGTACAGCATAATGCTGTATTTTATTATCCATCAATGTAATACATAATTTACTGAAACTTAACAAATAAGACAGAAACGTATTGCAGAACTAAGAAAAGGTTCTTGTCTCTTCAAATTTTATCAATGTTGTATTTCATGTTCAGTGTCTAGCATTGGGTCAAAAGAGATATGGTCACCCTATCCCAATACCTATTTACTAATTACATACCTAATGTAATCATAATTTTTTCTCCTCAGGGCATGACACAAAATTTTGGTAGAGGTAACACAGCAATGTTTTATTATTTTTGGCATAAAATAACAACAATATCAGAATATAGTGAAATAAAATATTAAAAATTAGTGAAATAGTTAATGTTTTATGTTTATTTATTAAAAGTTAGAACTAATCTTGTGCTGAGGTGGCTTTTTTATATTTTGGTTTGGTTTTTAAATGTAACTGTTGACATGACTTGGATTTCAATATTGATAATCCCAACTTTTTCACTAGTTCATATTCCTATGACAAAACATTCTTTTTTAATAGAATGCATTGCCTTTTTTGAAAGTGGGACATTTTTGCCTTCTTTGGGAAGGGTGGGACACATTGCTTGAAAGCAGAACCGTCTCGCCCAAAATGGGACCTATGGTCACATTATACACACTATAATATACAGATTTATTTAATTATTCAGTATAATGTTTGTTGCATAATGCATTATTTTGGGTTTTGGTAAAGAGAACTCATCAAGTGGAGTAAATTATATAATTTTAGCTCAAAGAAGGTTAAAGTATCTACATAAACAAAGTTGTTTTAATCTCAAAAAATTACAGCTATTTCTTGTCAGTATGATTTTTTACTAAAAAATAATTGTGTCTTTTAAATATCCAATTTAAAGCATATGCCAAGCATTAGATAATTATAAACAGAAATAATTTTTTTGAAATAAAAAAATATTTAATAGAAGAAAGCATATTTATTATTACTTTTAAGGTGGACTGTACAATAGGCAGTTTAAATGTAATCTTAGTTTAAACTGTGAATCTCTGTATAATCATCAGTCATTGTTTAAATTAGTTTTAAATATGACATTTGTACTTTAAATATAACCAGTCAAAAATTAAACTTCTGTTAGCTGAATAAGCATTCTCTTTATAACCCACCCTAAGAATATTTATTATTAGTTGAATATCATGAAAATTATTAATCAAAATACTAAATATTGTAATAATAAATAGTTTTGTCATGGTACAAAATCATATATATTGCCAACTTAATTGAGAATAAATAAAATAAAAATAAATAATTAGTTACTTAGAACCAGTTGTATACATTGTGTTTATAGTACAGTTTAACCCTAAGTTTAAACTTAGAGACTTGAAAATGTACCTTGTGTAAGTGTAACTATCTTTTAAACTATTTATGGATAATTTCATCCTACCTAGATTCTAGATTGAGTATTCATATGGAAATGTATACCAATTTGTTCGACTAATTGTGATACGATTGTGATATCTTTATTGTATTTATGAAACCTAGGTCTATCCAGATTTCGATTGCCTTATCGCCATCAAAAATGTCTTGGTACTTGGGGTTCAATATTTCAAATATTCAGGTCTTCTTTATCATCAAACAAAATATCTTTGAATCAAACTGTAAGGTAAACATGTAACATCATACCCTTAACTAGTGTGCTCTGTTTAGTGGTTGTACCTGAAACTTGTATTTAAACTGGACCTATACAACTGCTTTTAATAGTTTATTGAAAAGTAATAACCTTCATTCAAATATCCTTAATTCATAAGTATTTTTTCAATAATCAGCTGCCCAGATCGCCCCTGCCTCCCACTTTATGCAACTGATAAAATATGATTATTAAATTAAATGAAATTAAACAATTTTGATGGGGTTTTTATCTAAGCGAAAAATGTTCAATATTTCCACAGAGCTTTGAATGATTTTAAACAAATGGTTGGGACTGTTGCATACATATTATTATAATAATATTCGATTATTAGAAATACATTTAGGTTGTGAGAGAAAGACAAAAGACAATAAAAAGTGTATTGTCAATAAAGATAAACTTATCTGACGTGGTTCAGATTTCATAAATACCTGAACAAATGTTTAGTTTACATTTCTGTGAATATGATTCATAATGTTATAGTTTTGTATTACTGTGTTTTATTTTCATTTTTCATTTGCCCAATATTTACATTTAAGAAATAAACAGAATGTTGTTTTGTAGAATATAAAAAACATTTTTACTTTCCTGTCTGTATACAGATAAGGAAAGTATAGGAATCATGATTTTTTCGACAGATTTTTACCTTTGGGGGTCTCCTGAATCTGTTTTCACTATTTTTACAATGATGCCCCTCTGTGTGTGTCTGTATACTTGATAACTTATAAATGGATACAGAGAAAAACAGCAAACTTTAAAGATAAGCTTTAATCCATCCTGCAGTGAGTTGATTAGATTTAAGGTATAGTTGGAACATCTGAGGGGGTACTTTATAGGGGGTAGTTTTTCTACATTATCAAATATATTTTATATATGCTTAAAGAAGAGAATTCTTCTTATTCTCTATAATTTTTGTCACATACATAATTTTCCTAAAATAGTCCGTATTCAAGAAATTTGATAAAAAGTTTAAAATTCGAATTACATATTAAGAAAATTGTTCATATAAAATTTGTTGTGTTGTCATTCTCTATAATTCTTGTTCTATACATGATTTTCCTAAAATGGACCGTTTTCGAGATATTTAAGGAAAAATGTTAATGTACAAATGTACACTGAGAAAAATACAACTCTATTGTAATAGTCATATAACTTGGTTCAAATGACATGTAGAGGCTTTTCATTTGCAGATTTCAATTGGGGAGGTTTCAATTCATAACAAGCATACCCGTAATTAACTTTTGCTCCGTCTGGGGGGGGGGGGGGGGGGGGCGCAATTGGGGGTGAAATTTAAACAAAAAATCACAGAAGCCACAAATGGCTTTGTACACCTTTCTGCTTGGGATATGTTATGTAGTTTGCTTTTTTCTTCATCCCTGATACCATGCTGGAGTTTGTCGAGCCGTCTGAGGGGATGCAATTAAGGGTGAAATTTAAAAAAAATCATAGAAGTCACAAATGGCATTGCTTTGAAGAGGAAGTGTATTGTGTATTTCTACTTTTCAAAAGTATATAAAGGTTTTCTTTGATAATTTTATAGTTTTTAACTTTTTGCCAAAATTTTCCTTTTCGATTTTCTTTAATGAAACCACCTATTTTTTATTTTCATTTGTTAATTAAACATGTTTTAAGATTAACATTTTAAATAGTAATTTTCAAGAACCAAATTGATAGTCACAAAACAAATTTTATTTATACCCCTCATTTTATTATTATTTAACAAAATTTATTTTTAAAATTCCAAATCATTATGATTCTGAGCTGAAATAGTAGAACTATGGGCAATATGTTCTTATATAAGTTTTCCGAAATTTCAAAATTATATCTTTGAAATTATGAAAGGTATTGATTTTTTTTTTAAATTTCACCCTTAATTACACTCCCTCAGACGGCTTGACAAACTCCAGCATGGTATCAGGGATGAAGAAAAGAGCAAACTACATAACATCCCAAGCAGAAATGTGTACAAAGCCATTTGTGGCTTCTATGATTTTTTTTAAATTTCACCCCCAATTGCACCCCCTCAGACGGAGCCACAGTTAATTGCAGGCATGGTTGTTATGAATTGAAATGTGCAAATGAAAAGCATCTACATGTCATTTGAACCAAGTTATATGACTATTACAATGGAGCTGTATTTTTCTCAGTGTATATTTGTGGATGTGGATAACTTTACACCCGTGAATTTTGAAGATAACTTAAAATCGAATAAAGGGAAAAACAGCAATTTTTTAACTTAATCTTTAATTCAGCCAATAATAACTAGACAGGAAAGTCATGTGTTGAACACATCAGATTTTTACACTTACTCTGGTGATTTTGTATTAAAATTAATAGTACTTTTTAATTGGGGTTTTTATGTCATTTTTTGTTTCACCTTCACAGTCATTTAGTTTGACACCTCTATGATTTTAAAAAAATGGAACAAGCTCCAAAGAAAAAATTATTTAAGCAACTAAGTGGTGTATACTTGGGACAACTTGCAAGAGGACACTATCGTATCGAGTTCAGTTAACCAGTTCAAGAATCGTCTAGATAAAGAATTGAAAAATGCTTCAATTATTATCATAGTCCACTATACCAATTGATCTTTTGTGATGAATTGTGATATAGGTTAATGTATTGTGATTACTGCTGTTATATATATCTTAATGTTATATATACTATATAGTTAATAAATGTGACTTTTCAATGCTAGAACAGTCTCATCGGTTTTACCGCTCACTGATCTTTATTATTATTAATAATAATAAAATAATAATCCAATAAAGCTGCATTTATCAAGCCGCAACTCTAAAAGCTCTACATTGGCGTTTTTTTTTTCAAAAACTATTTTCCTGTTGTTATAGCTTTTTAAATAAACAAAAATTACAAATGACAAAATTAACTTAAAATTAAATTATTAGTAAAGACTTCAAATTTATCTTAAAATTGATATTTTTATTATTAAAGGTACCAAGAGAGGTTAACGGCTGTAAACGAGTTAGATCAGCAAAGAAAACTTGTATTTCATGAAACAATTATTTTATTTACAAGATTACAATATCTGTGGACATCCTGTATTCAAACATTAAATGTTGGAAGGCCCCACCTTGCTAAATCACCATCATTATTTTGTTTAATATTATTTTTGGTTTATTTTTTATAAATTAAAGTTTTCTCGCGCACTTTATTGAGCCATTTTTATTTATTTATTTTAAATTTCCTGTTTGGATTGGCTGAGATGAC